TCTTTCCCTCCCATCCATGAAGTCACCAGGACCTTCACGGGTGGAGGTGGTATTTCCCCAGCGTGTTCCTCCCACAGCGTGGCCCTTGGGTTTTGCTTCTCCTGACCAGCTCTTGAGTCTGTCTCTGGCATTTCTAGCTCTTCAAAGCAGCAGCAGAGTACCATAGTAATAATGCCAGCTTCAGTTGCTCTGAAATTCTTAAAAGCCCTGGAAATGAGAAAACTCTTTGTTTGTTTACTTTCTCTCTGGGGTGAGGCGTGAGCTGCAGGGAAGGCACTGAAGCTGCCTGCAAGTGCTGGGTCAGGACACTTGAAACTCTGCCTTTAAACAATAGGAAGTTTGCAGGGACGGATAGCTGAAATTCCAAGTTCCTGTTTTCTAGGTAATTGGCAGTTAGATTTTGTTCAGGCCGTGTATTTTTTTTGTGGTGTATTCTCAGTTACTGTTGAGAACCTTAATGTTGTTATTGGATAAACTTCATACTGGTGAAGGAAATACTATTAAAGTACTGTAGATTCTGCAAAGACTGCTTTGTAGTAACAGAAAACATTGTGTGCTCTGAGTTTGAAACCCAACAAAAGAAGTTTAAACACAAGCTAACTAAACAAAGCATAGGTGGAAACAAAAACCCTCAGAGGCATAAATCCATTGCAGTCAGTTTGCTGTAAATACGCGCATGGTTCATCTGTGTTGTTTCCCAGCATGAATATTAATTTGGTTTTGGAGCCTTTAGGGACAGCGTAGAAAAAGGTCTCATTGTGCACGACACAAACTGTATAGGTGTAAAGCAAAGGATGACATTATCCTGTGATCCTATGACTCCTTGCTCCAAAGAATTACAGTGACTGAATATATGTGTCAGAGAGAACAAAAACTTCTGAGCACAGGCTCATTTTTAATTAACTATGTTCACTTACAGATGGAGGTTACTAGTACATACCTGTAAATTGTTGCAATTTTTTTTTTTTTTGGTAACAGTTACTGGACGAGATGTAATTTTTTTGGTTTGTTACTCCCTTCAGTTTGCTTTCTCGTAGGCTAAAGACTTGTCAGTTGCCGTTTTCAGAAAAAAACCTAACAGCACAGGCCATTTCTGCAAAGGTAGCACAACTCTGCTGGCTAGAGTTTTTCCTGCATTTTCCTATTTTTCCTGCAATTGCTGGAAAAAGTCCTGCATTTTTAGGGTAATTTAAATCTAAGGAGTAGCTCTCACAAACACTGCTGCCAGCAAAAACCCAACCTGTGCTTTTGGGTCAATGCCCTTTGTCCCCTCCCCACTTGTTATCCAAACAGCAATCTTTAATGTTTGTATACAAACACCTACATGCTTTGCGATAATATTTAAAATGTTAAAACATTTAAAATATTTGTTTCTACAGGTTTTTATTCATAATCCTCATGCCCGTGGCCAGAGAACAAGCACAAACCGTGTGGTGCAAAGTACCCAAGATTCTGACATTTCTCTTCTCAACATTAATCAAGGGATCACTTGTCTAACTTCAGGAGCGCTGAATCCTCAACTTGGTTATGATTCTCTTCTGGTTGGGACACAGACTAATTTGTTGGCTTATGATGTGCATAACAACTCAGATTTGTTTTACAGAGAGGCAAGTTAACTTTTTCTCCTTCTTTTAGCATCTCTTCATTGGTTTATTTTTCTTCACGTTCTAAAGATCACGGTTTTTACGTTACTTTGTCAATTAGTTATGCGTCAGTTCATTGCGTTAGTTGTATTACTGTATTCAAAACGTTTTGCCTTTAGAATCTGTGTAGTATTTTAAAAGAAAAGTTGAAACATTAATATGCTGTGTGCCTCTGTATGTGTGAGAGGGAGCGAGTTTTCATATGTTCTGCATCACATGGCAAGAAAACATTTAAAATTTTAATAGGTATTCGGAGTTCAGCTAAACTCGTATTTTCACTAGAGCTTTTTTTTCATCTTAGCCCATCCACGTTACAGCTGGCGAGTGAGGATAGGAATTATGGCTTTTATCATGGAATCAGAGACCACTAGGAAAAACATGAAAAGGCCTTGGATTTATGCAACTGTAGGCAATATAACTCTTCAGTTTATAGTGAAAGGTTAACTATCAACATGTGTGCATAACTGCTCATAATAACCGAATTCCTGATCTTATACCCTTCACTCTAATCAGCCTGATAGTTGGCCTAACTTTATGTATCATTTATTACTGTGAGGAATGGTTATTATCAGTTTTGTCTTGCCTTATGATTCCACTCAGCTCCTCTAACTGGATCCATAAAGAGAGAAAGGGGTCCTTAAACGCAGATTTTATTGCGAGATCCCAACGCCGTTAGAAAGGAGACAAACATGATACTATTGGAAGCTTTATTTCTGATCTGTGTACTCCATGCACCTAGATGTCTCATTCTTTGCTATATTTCTTTTTCCTTTAATGTTTCTCTGTAGGTTTCAGATGGAGCGAATGCAATAGTTCTTGGAACTCTAGGAGATATTTCATCTCCGCTTGCTATTATTGGTGGAAACTGTGCCCTGCAGGGCTTTGATTATGAAGGAAATGACCTTTTTTGGACGGTAAGACTACACAGAACACTCTTCTTCTAATTAAAAGATGTTGTTGATAGCACAAATTCCCCTTTATATTTTTTGTATATGATGCATTCCTTTGGTTGTTGACTAGCTTAGATCTTTCTTAATTTATCACAGGCCTTAAATGTTGTATTTGGACAATGTGCATTCAGGTATTGCTCGAGCACTGACTATGTATGTTGTTTTGTTGCAGCTGAAATCATAAAAATAGTTTTGTCCCTGACAGCTATCATCAGTACTGAAGACTGTCTTTCTCATTTTAGGTTACTGGAGACAACGTTCGCTCATTAGCACTGTGTGACTTTGATGGTGATGGCAAAACTGAGGTTTGTAGCCTTTTACATGTGAATTCAACTGTTTTCATGGTCTTGCAGTGAAATGATAGGGGAAGAAAAGAAACCCGTAGGTTATCAAATATGTCTCACTTATTTTGCCAATTAAAGTGATCTTGGATTCAGGTTTGTCCCTTTTCAGGCTCCACTCCTGCAAAGATATGCACAGATGCTTAATCCATATACTGGCAGCAGCACTGTTCTTTGAGACTTCTTGCAGTATATAAAACTAGGCGTATTCAGTGGTCTTTACAGCATTGGTGCCTAGCTTTGGTGAATAGATTGGCAGCTGTAGTGGAAAACTTCTCACATGTTCCTTTAAACTGCAGCAGGAGAAAAGCAATGAAATGTCTGTGATTATCGGTCACAAGGCATCCAATTCAATGATATTTTGGTGGTATGTTTATAAATATTTTTTTTAAATAGTAGAGAAACAACTTGCAATCAGCTCTTAAAAGGTTGTGCTGTAAAGAGCTTTATTTGTGGTTGGCAAAATCAAGAAATCTGTCTTCACACCTGGTCCTGCTGCTTCTCCTCAGTAGTGACATGAGGAAATGAAATGTTCTTTGCTTGTCTGATGTAAAACTGAAAATAACTTTTAAAAAGCACCTTACTGATAACATGTGAGATAGATAAATATATGGCTGTAGTCCTGAATTTGTATGGCATTCTTTGTTCCTGGAAGTATTCTTCAGTTCCATATAAATGGAAGGATCGTGGCTTTAAATATGAATCACAGAGGAAAATAGTAGCTTCCTAGTGCACTTCAGATGCAAGTAAATATGCTGTTAAGTCACCAAGCTAAAATGCTCATTTCTGTCATCTGTCTTTCAGTATTAATCGTTAATGCTTAAGCTCTGCTGCCTGCTTCCCAGGAAATCCTCCTGTAGAGCGGGTAATATTATCACTTGAATTGTGATGTTTATATTGATATGGTCTCTACACCTTTGGTGTTTCTTATGAATATTGTACCTATGCAGACCCTTTGCTTGAATGAAGTCTTCAGAAAGTAAACAAACAAACAAACAAACAAACTCTTTTCGTCAGTTTCTACACAGCTCCTCCTATGCTGTGTTTTGTATGCGTTGAGAGATGGTTATAAGAAGTGGAGGCAGCATATAAAGATTTTTGCTTTCCATCAAAAAGTAGGAAACTGATCTGTGGTGCTAATTATAGTTGTTTTGCATTTGTGCTTCTAAGCTCCTCCCCTCCTTCCCCCCCCCCCCGGCCCCCCCGCAAGGTTCGTTCTCCGCAGTTGGTATAATCTGTTGCTACTTCCAGCTAAGCAAGGTTGGATGCATTGTCCGAGCGACTTACCTTGTTTGTTAGCCCAGCAGGCGTTTGCTGAGGTTCTTAAGATTTCTTTTTGATCTTAATTACTTAGATGATTCATTTTCTTGTGGATTATGTGAAACTGCATCTGGTTTTAAACCGAAGTTCTGGGAAAATGTACAAAAACATCTTTAAAAAAAACCCATATTTTAATCACTTATATGTATTACCTGATAAACGGATATGCCAGCTTCTTTTCCGTTATTCCCTCCCTCAGTGAAAACATGTCTACCTTTTAAATTAACTGTTTAACTGCAGGACAATGCTTCTGTTGCTTAGTAGCTAACAGAACTGATTCATTCTGGTCACTGTGTTCCTCAGGATTTTAGACTGATAGTTTACTTTCTTCTATCTTGCCAAAGACTTCAGAGAGCATTTTTTCCCTTGCTTTTTTAGGTTCCAGTCCAATGGAATGAAAGTCACTGAGGTGGACAAGTTGAATCAAATTAAATGAAAAAAAACGTTCCCGAAGCATGTGTAGGAGACAGTAGCGTTACCAATCACTGGTTTAACGTTCCGTGCTTTTAGCTGGTCACTTCCAGCTAATGGCTTGTCCAGAAGTCTGTTCCACTTGTATATTTTTTTCAATTGTAAATTAATGTAATAGCTACAGTAAGTTTAGGCCTGTGTAGTTTAGTTTGTCGTAATTTGAAATAGGTTTGCTTTGGAGGACAAAAGGCCGTATTTTTTCAAAAATCCGAATTAAGTGTGAATTTGTCCATCTTGCCCAGTAAAGATGTAAGGGACGCCAGACTCATAGGTTCCTGTGGGAAAAGGCACTACCAGACGTTTCATCTTTCATTTATATTTCAGCTTCTGTCATTGCCTTGATGGATGGCTTTATGAGCAAGGCGCTAAGCATTTCTTTTCCTCGGTTTCTCAATTTGTAAAATGGAAGTCCTGTTGTGTTAACATCTTTAAGAAGTGCTTTTTCATGTGGCCTCCATTTTGGTTAATATCATCTACCTGCTCAATTAGGAAGTAGGAAAAGAACTAAGAAATCAGAGAGGATAACGAATGAGAATGCAGAAGACCTGATTCAGTGCTGATGTCCTATTTGCATAACTATTTACATCAAATTAGACCCCATTTTGCTCTTATTTTGCAGTAGTGGCAGCCACTTTTCAGACTGGAGAAGCAGTGATGGTTTGGACGCTTGGATTCATTGATTCTGAGTCAGCATGCAGCAAGAAATGCCTCTGAGGGATATTCAGTGCGGAATAATGAAATGTTTTCCAGCTGTTTGCTCACAAGCTAGTAATTAGAAGTTGCTGTTTCTCTGCACCTATGTAGTAATGCCAGTTGAGCTGTAGGTCTCCTGCCCCAATACAGGCAACATAGTATTTTGGTGTGTATAACTACAATTATAAATAACACTGAATCCTTTACAGTAAGAAAAGAGCGTAGCCCCGATGTTCCAGGATATCTTTTCTCGCTCCTACCCCAGATGTGCCACTATGCTTTTGTTAGACTCTGGCTTGCCAAAACAAGAATAAATAGTATTTGAGCAATGGGAGACTTCCGAAATCTTCTCTTCACGGAGGGTGCCTTTTGTCCAGCTGGCAACTCTTCATATATTTGTTAAAAGCTCTTTATTACTGGACCTGGAATATTTGTTTGCTTTCTGATCACCTCTGAGTCCTGGAGTATGTGCTTTTTATTTCTTTAACTTAAATAACCGTGGATTTTATTTTTTCTTAGCTTCTTGTTGGCTCTGAAGATTTTGACATCCGGGTATTTAAAGAAGACGAGATAGTGGCAGAAATGTCAGAAACAGAGGTAAACTACTTCTAGATGGTGTTTGTTATAATTGCAGATGGAGTTGAAAATTATACGTACCATAAAGCTGCTCTGTTTACTCTGGTTCAAATTTATTGTGTAGTTAAATATTATTTAACTACGTGGCACAGTATCTATTCTGCTAGAATTGTAAATGTTAGTTTAATGTCTTTCAGTAATATTTGCTTAGGGGTTCATGCTCTACAGCTAGTTTACAGATTAAGAAAAGTAACTGCTATTTGACTGAAAATTGAGGCCCTCTCCAAAGGTGATGAAGGTTACTGGAAGGAGCCCAGTGATTTAAGCTCTCACTGATTTCTGTTCTGGCAGAACATCATCTGCCAGAGTTTATCTCAACTGCATCGACACAATCATGACCCAATAACTTGTCTCTGTGTGTATCCAGACAGTGTATGGGGGAGTTGCAGGGAGTCAGCCAGGCAAAACCAGATGTTTTACAGTGCAGTCAGGTGAAATGAGAGAGTTGTGCACTGGCTGTATAAACAAGGCTGTACCTTTGCAGTGCCTCTATTAAAGTGTGGACAGGTGGATTTTCAGAGGGATAAATAAATGTATGGGAGTTATTCTTTAGCTCTAAAGCCGAGACAGAATCCCCACTGTTAAATTTCGGTTGCTTGGAAAGGAGAAAAATACCGTTATGATTGCGTTTAGAAGCATTTTTAGCTCTCTTATGACCCATCTGGTCCAAGGGTAGAGTAAAGGACATGCTAGAGAACTTTGTCCTTGAAGTCTGAGGTTTAGCTTGCTGCCCAAGTTAGGATGACAGGGCTTAGCTATTAAACCACTTACTGCCTGGATTTATCTTTAATAGCTATTTGTGTTTTAGGAAAGGATGCTGAAAGGTTACTGTGTCTAGAATTAGAACTTGGCCTGAAATACATAATACTGTCTGTATAATAACCAGTCTAGAGTCATGTCATGGCGTGTGACAGTAAAAAAGCTAATGGTCCATCAGTCTCATATGTGATTTATTTCCCTGGAGCTGTTACTTATATAAATAATGGCAAGCCTAGTGTTCTGGGAAAAGTCCAACCCTGGGAGCTGTTAATTTTTATCTCACTAATCTCGGGCAAAGTTTTTTCTACCAGTAGTATCACGACGGCTTCCTCAGCCCATGTAACGTTGGATTCTCGGGCATCCTCAGGTCCTGAGGCTTTATGAGTTTTGTCTGCTTCTAGCACGTTTCCAATGAATGTATATTAGCACTGATGACCCCAGGAATCCTATAAGTAGTTGTGCTGCTGATGGTGGTAGGAAATTTTAGGTCAAAGAACACGGTTTGAGTGCAATTCTTTGCTGAAGTATACCTTAACACTAGCAATCCCGCTTGTGTAAGGAAATCCTACAGGCCTTTGGCGATTTTTTTTTTTTAAAAACTGATTTTTAAAGATAGATCTGTTTACCATTAAATTTGAAGTAGTGTACAGCTCACGTGATAGAGAAATTGCATGTAGTCTGTTCTCTGTTACCTGAAGCTGCAGAAGTAGATGTGTTCTCACTCCTGTGTCCTCTCTTCCTCTTCCAAGACTATCACGGCACTTAGCCCCATGTATGGCAGTCGATTTGGCTATGCTCTTTCTAATGGAACAGTAGGAGTTTACGACAAGACAGCCCGCTACTGGAGGATTAAGGTTAGTCCAGTGTTAGAATGTCGTAGTGGAAACTTTGAAGCCTCCTAGGGGATTTGGTACCTTATCTCGGGGTGTTCTAGTGGTGTCCAAACTCACGTGAATTTAAAATCTGCTGAGCATAGCACGGAATGTAATTTTGTCATTACAAGATATATACCCATTCTTATAGGTATTCTAATATCAGTGCTTTGGGGATTATTGGTAATGGCTTAAATGATACTGATAGAACCGTACAGCTGTGGATGCTTCAGCTTTGCAGGATGGCTTAAGCAACAGAGATACAAAGGCAAATTTTGAATTCACTGTTAGAAGATGTATTTAGCTGTACTGTTGAATGAATAAATTATTTTCTAGAGGCTGAATTCATCTTGCATTGTACATGTTCAAAGCTGATTTTTTAGCATCAAAAGTAATGACCTGCTGCAACAAATCATATTGGGTAGGTCCTTTCCTGGACCTGGACAGCACATTCATTTTAATGTTCTTAATATATTACGATTAGAATAGTTCTATTAAACAATAATAAAATCAAAAACCTTTGAGAGAGGATTCCTTGGGAGGTGACACAAAGAGGCTAATGGGGTTTCCCAGTGATAGGAAGGGTTTATGGAAAAGTCAAAACTCTGTTATTTGTTTTAGAGAATTTGGCTTTTACGCTCTGATTTGTGAGTTCTAATCATCTGCTTGGATGAAAAAGTATTTGAAGGAAAGATCATGTCCTCTGAGAGCAGTGGGCTATATTTGTAGTACAAGTGCTAAGATTTCAGGGATGGGTGACCTTGCAGATGGTGATGCTCTAACTTTCTGTTAAGAGACATTTTTTCTAGTCCTTTCTCTAATTTCTGTAAGCTCACATTCAAGTATCTTATGCATGTTAAGCATATGCAATTTAGAAAACATACGCAAGCTTAATTTATTCTTTGTTTTCTGTCCCCAGTCTAAGAACCATGCAATGAGCATACATGCTTTTGACTTGAACTCTGATGGAGTATGCGAGTTGATCACTGGCTGGTCCAATGGGAAGGTGAGTTTGTAGAGAAGAAATGAGGACCTGTAAATCTGGAAGCTGTGTTTGAACAAAGCTGCGAAATTGTCTTAAGGCTGAACAGACAAATTAAGATGATTGTTGAAAACTGAGCTCTGAGGAATTATTATAGTAGACCTGGTTTGGCTGGTGAATCCAGTGCCAAATGCAAGGTTAGTCAGAGAAAATCTCTTTCCTCTACTTAGGTTAGAATCAATTGCTAAGGTGTGATAAGTTGTTTCTATGGTAGCAGAGATCATATGCCACATTTTAGGGCTCTCGAGTGTCTCTTTTCAGCTCTGTGTTGAGCACATGCTGATGTTCTTCTTACATGCTTCCTGGATGTTCTCAAACTGCAAAGAAAGCAAAGTGTTTAGGTAAGAGGAGAGCAGTGTCAGTCTTAACTATGGCAGGATTAGAATAAATCTATATATATTACTTAATTTTATGCAAAGGCATTCTATACAGCTCAGTCCTAGTCTGCTAAGCCTGTTGCTTAGTATTCTCTTTGCCAGAAATAACTGCTCTAACTGCCAAATCTCCCCTGGACACAGCCTGCCACTTTTTTTTTCTTTTTTGGTAAATCTATACTTCTTCCTTAGCGCCTCTCATTAGCTTGGAGGAATTTAATTTCCTTTGTATCAGGCTGGCGGTCTAGAGTTCAAGTGTGTTATACACCAAATGAAACATAGGTTACAAACATTGTTATGGAGAGGTCCTCTCCTTGCTTTACTCCTATCTGGTCGCTTTTCATGAACAGTCTCTACTTTGCTTGTTGATCTGAAACGTTCCCTAGCTCCTAGAAAGAGCAATGCTGGGTCCCATGCTCTGGAAGAGAGACACTGTACAGAACTGAGCTCCTCTCCCCATTCCTATCCCATGAAAGATAATTAAAGGTCATGCTATTTGTGCATAAAATTAATGCATTTCATAAAAGACTACAACTAAGATAAGAGGTTGTAAATATTGTGTTAAGGTTATGTCTAGTTTAGTACCGCTGTTGGCATGTCTAGGCGTGCTTAACCTTGACAGCACAGGCTTGCAGTTGCCTTTTTTCCTTTCTCCTGTTTCTAACTTAGGGAAGTATCTATGAAGAGCAGTTTATTTTAGGTGAGTCTGTCTAGATCTCATTTCTTTGATAGTATTTCCCCCCACCACACACACACCGTTGTGGTGTGATCTGCAGAGCTGCAAGTTCATCTGCAGTTCCATGAGTCAAGCTAGCTTTCAGCTAACAGCCCAGAGTGCTGCATGAGTTATATTTTGGAATTACCTTTTCTGTTCACATTGTGCCTTGGAACTCTTCTGTTTCAGGTTGATGCACGCAGTGACCGAACTGGGGAGGTAATCTTTAAGGACAACTTTGCTTCCTCAGTTGCAGGACTGGTGGAGGGAGATTACAGAATGGATGGAAACACCCAGTTAATCTGTTGTTCAGTTGATGGTGAAGGTAAAAACACCGATCAAGATATTATCAGACACATCGTTTACTTCCAGATTAACTAAGTGTTGTTAGGTTTCCATATGGGTTTTTGTGTGCCAAATTGCCTTTGCCCTGTGCGAAATTAAGGGAACTTTGAGTTATGCTTTCTGCAAACAGGATTTTGAATATTACCTCCTCTGTGATAATCGGTGTGCTTTTTTTATGATCCAAAAAGCCATCAAAATTCATTTGCCTGACGGAAAAGGTTCTCTCCTGATAATTAAGAGGGACTTACATTCAGTACAGACCATAATTCTTCAGGCTGCATCATTAAAGGTGAATGTTATGGGAATTTTTTTTTAAAGCTTAAGGGTATGTACATTTTGTTTTTGTTCAGAAGATTATTTGTTTTTATATTAGAAGTTTTAGGTGTTAAAAGCCCTTTGTTTGCTGGAAAATGCTATCCTGAAGCTGGAGAACTGGTGAATTTATCCCACCAGACATTCAAGAAGTGAGACCTGATTATTGCAAGTGGAAACAAATATAAACATAGATGATTTAAATAGGCTCAGCATGAATATACAGGGGCATATGATGGCCCTGAGAAAGTGTGTGATTATCCACCTGCTTGACTTCAGTGACCTGATGCAAGCAAGTCTGGCACAACCCATTTGGAACAAATTCTGTGCTTGTTAAATAGCACAGTGTTTTGTTCTCTGTCTTAATCGCAGGCTGTTGGGATGTGCTGCGCTTGGGCATCAGCATATAAACCTTCTTCCCAAGCTTACAGAAGGAGGAGACCACTGTATACAGTCATGAAGGCATCTTATCCTAACAGCTATACGGGTTAACATTATTGAACCTGATCTTCCTCTTCTGATGGGTCTGCCGTAAACAAAGCTTGGCACAATGGGGGGATCCCCTTAGGCTGGAACCTTCAGGCGCTACTAGATAACATTAACCCTGTTGTCAGAGTCCCATGGACAAGCCTCCGGGTTCTCACAGCACTCGTCATTGGCGCTGTGTTTGGGATCAGCATCCTTCCACGCTGCGTCAGTTGTACGACTGGGAGCGTTGTTCTTCTGTGTTGCAGTGTATTTTTTCTTGCTCTCATCTAGAACAAATGGTTCACTCTAATGGAAATAATAAAATGTGTGTTGCGATCATTTTATTGGAGGGCATTGTGTACCTCATCTCAGAATCACTGAATGCTTTTCAGCTTCCCTGCAACTTTTTACTGAGGTTACACTGTCAGGCAGAGTATTCATCAGGAGTGCTGGAGTTTTCCCCTGGCTTTCACTGACAGCTGCAATCAGAGCTCACAGCCCTAGAGCAAAATGGAAGTTCTTGGCAAGCATCTCTGTGGCTCCTGTTCAGCTCTTCTGTCTCCACAGGCCTTCCAGTTGGAAGGCTGTTCCTAGCCCTGTGCTCTGTTGGGCTACTGGGAAACAGGCCTTAGCCTTTTAAATGAACTGTTTCCAATTTGGGGAAAAACTAACAAAGGCGAATCTTGTTCAGTGGCTGATGGTCAGTGGGTTGCGGTCGCTCGGTCGCTTCCAGACAGTAACAACTGCTCTGACTACCACACCCAGACAGATATCTTATTAATTTTGAATAATTGCAAGTGGTTTAAGACTTGCTTAAGCTCCTGAAAGAGTGATTGTAGTGGAGTCCTCTCATGAAAGGACTGGCAGCTGCACTTAATTATAACTTAAAGACAGGTTGGAAATTGTCCTATCTTTCTTGTCCTGATCACAAGTCAGTGCCTCTGTGGGTGTAAATGAGTTCAGCTTTTTAGCTGAATGGTACCAGGATGTGTCACCTTAAGACCAGGACCAGTGTTGTCTGCTGTTGAGGTGTTTCCACAAGAGAGTCATGTTGCAGAAACTAAAGTTTTGAGGAGACAGTGAAAGACCCTGCTGCAATCAGCTGTGCTTTGTTTCTCTGCAGTGCGGGGCTATCTGCCAGGAGGCCAAGAGATGAAAGGAAATCTAATGGATGCAAGTGCTGAGCAGGACTTGATCCGAGAACTTAGTCAAAAGAAGCAAAATTTGCTGCTGGAATTACGAAACTATGAGGAAAATGCAAAGGTACTGTTTGAACAATATAGACGGCCCAAACATGGCTTCCTATCGCTATAAATCAAGAGTAATCTGGGAGGAGGTTGCAGTGCAGTCAAGTCAAAAGTGATAAACTGTTAGTTATCAGAACTCAGTGGGAATGTCTGTTGGAGATGCCTGCTGGTACGTCTGGCTTGCTCCTCGTGCAAGTTCAGAACTTGCTTTTCTTATTTTAATAAGTAAAGTTTTCCTTGTTCCTTTGGCTTGCCAGAGCTGTTGTGTTTGGACCTGGATTCTGTTCAACCCTGTGCATCGGCTTATGATTGTGAATTGTGATTTGCAATGCATGAGCCAATCCAGGGGGCAGAGAGGACTGTATGAAAACATTAGGTGAATGGATGAGAGATGGGAGTTACTGACAGGGTGCAGAAAATGCATTTGGGGTTTGAGGGAAAGGTGCAGTTTGAAGAATAGGCTGAGAAAAGAGCAAGCCCATATTTGAAAAGTAACGACCACCATAGCAAAAGCATGAACATATATAAGCTTGTGTTTAAAACTGCGTGTACATTAGGTGGTTTCCCAAATAAGGATTTGGGTATGGAGCTGAGCTCCATTGACGATAAAGCACTTCACGGAACAAACTAGCGCAGGTGTCCACAGCTCCACACCTAATCAAATCACTCTTCATAGATATTTGCAAAGTGTGCAGGAACTACTCTGATAGAGCCTTCTCCTGCAAGAAGAAAGAACTGACTTATGCGTATGTGATCTAGGTTACTTGAATGAAAATCTTGAAATTCTGATACCGACTTACGTGTTTTGTAACAGGCTGAACTGAACACTCAGTTGAAGGAAGCTGATGGGCAGAGAGGTGTAATTCCAGCAAATACCCAACTCCAGACTGCCCTGTCAGTTAATCTGGGCTCTGACAGTCAGTCTGCTCATGTGGAGCTGTGCATTTCCACAACGAATGGTGAGTGATGACCTGCAAACTTTGACATTTGTTTCATGTAACTTCATGCAAACATTGGGTTATACTGAGCTGATGATTCGCATGTTTCCCCTTTAGTGTGTCTGTAATTCCCCTGTGTGGTTGCCTTCCTTTCACAGAGTTTAAAATCAAGCTGTGTTCCTTTGATGGATCTCAGGAGAGATGAGCTTGATGGAATTTGTTTGTTGGTGTGTTTCACTTACACGCTTAACACTTAGATTAAAATGAATCTCTGTGATCGCTGCAATGTTCCTTGTGTGGACTCTGAACATTAACAAAGAGCAGTGTGTTATCCCCAGTGAGAGAGTAAGTGCCCAGCTACTGAGTATGGTGGTCAATATAGAGGGATTCACTTCTGTAGCAGCTTTTTTTTTTTTTTTAAATAAAAACTGTGTTTCCAAAAATTCATATACAACCTTGCTTATCCATGGGTGGATTACCTGGTGTATAGGTAAACCATGAAAGGAGTGCAGAGATGGCCACAGTGGCTTCACGCAGCGCTCAGATAGTGTCCTGCAACTCTTATCACCCTTGTTAGTGAGAGTGTTGCATGAAGTAGCTGGACCTTAGCCAGCTCCAAATGCAAAACTGGAAATACCCCAAGTTAGCAAAATTCTCCTAGCAACCAGGTATGCTCAGTGCTTTGCTGCAGTCAGATCCAGCTGTGGTACTGCTGGTCATCTGGAATATTTCAGCAATTCAGAGGAGGAGTATAAAGGAGTTGACTATGCTTGATTCTGAAAACAATGTTGCTAGAAGAGAACTGTTAATTTAGGAACTGCTCTTTCTTCCTGTTGCTAAGACACAATCATCCGCGCCGTGCTGATCTTTGCTGAAGGCATATTTGAAGGAGAGAGCCATGTGGTACACCCCAGTCTCCAGCACCTCTCAGGCTGTGTTCGTGTTCCCCTCACTCCACCCAAAGATGTCCCTGTGGATTTGCACATCAAAGCCTTTGTGGGTTACAGGAACAGGTGAGTTTTTTTTTTGTTGCGAACTCTGCTCCTCCCCAGACCTAACACTGTGTGACAGGAAACACCAACGATGCGGCTTCCTACATGTCTCGCGGGAAGTGCCCTATTGATTCCTTGGTGTCTCGCTTCTCAGTGTTACTGGAATACCTGGTATACTTTTTTAAAAAACATTATTGTACCTGTGATGCTGAGCTCTTCTCCAAACAAAGTCTGAATGCTGTGAAGTCACCAGGACCTGTCGTGGCCTGGCTCTGCCTTCAGAAGAGCAGTAAGCGTTCCTTGTTCTGGGGCTGCCTTATTGTGGGTCTTTGGAGTGCATGGAGAGGGCATGGGCTGCATCCAGACTGTCTGCTCTAAGTGTCTACCTCCGCAGGGACCTGAACGGTGGCTGCTTTGAACATGGCACTTGAACGAGCCTGGGCTCTAGGAGAGCACAATGGTGTCCTTAAAAGTGCTCAGTAGCTGTGACCTCATTTGATTTCAGGGCAAGTCGCCTAAGCCTGACTTGAAGACGTTTTCCCAGTTCTCCGTAGAAATAAAATGTCTCTTAATACACATATGAAAATGACCTTCTCCCTGCTCACATCAGGTCTCTTCCCTACGCAGGGAGGTATGTTTTGAGGGTTGGCCAATCACTGCCGAAAGAATGTATGCCACTGAATTCCCTTTTTGTTTCCTCTATTCATCTTTATTGTTACTTTTAATAGGACTTCACTGAAGCTGTTAATATATCCAGTCACGTAGTAAAATCTTGACTGTGTTAGCCTAGCAAGTGTATTTCATTGAAAGGAGTATGGAAAACATGAGTAATGGAGAAATTATTCAACCGTCATAAAGACATGTGATAAGCCTGGGATTTCTGAGTTCAGGTTTGCCTGTGGGTAGTGGTAAGCAGTTGATCACGTAGCTGGAAGCTGAGGGTGGCGGTACCCAGCTAGAAACAAAACTAAACAAAAAAAGAGAACCCCGGCAATAGGTGAATTTCTGTTCTATTAGAAATCTCTGTATTTTTACTTTGGATTTCAGCACGCAGTTCCATGTGTTTGAGTTGACAAGGCAGCTTCCCCGCTTTTCAATGTATGCCCTGAGCAGCCCAGACTCAGCTGCAGAGCCCCTAAGCTATGTTAACTGTACAACAAACGAGAGGGCACAACGGGTGAGTTTCTGCTCTGCTCCTTATTTTCTGGTCTTGCATACAGGCGCTGCTTTTTGTAGCAGGTGGAGGGTTTGTGGTTAGCTTAAGAATCCCAAGAGTGAAGGATAACTATGCAGTGAACTGTGGTCCTGACCTGTGATTACAATTTGACTCGGTTCCCTGTCCCCACCCCGCTTCTTTTTTTTTTTTTTTTTTTTTTAATTTGTGCAAACACAATTGGGGCATTCCTTGTTTTAGGAATTCCTGCAGCTGCAGGAACTAATGGCCTGAGCTGGAGGAACTAATGGCCTGAGGTTACGAGGCGTTCAAATATTACCTTGTTTGCTCTGTGACAACTGATAGAACGCCAATAGCAGGAACCCTATAGTGAGATGAATTATATAGGCCAGGAGACAACAGGGTTCGAAAAAGGCTATGCAATAGCCAGATAATGGCTCAAATTCATAGTAGATGAACAGCTGCGCTGAAGTTTTGCTTCTAAAAGGCTTGAATTGTGGAATGGCAGTGATTCGAGCTGGTCATAACTGTAAGGCTCTACCATATTTGCCATATTTTACTGCATTAAATGGCCAAGGCTTAAAAAAAAAAAAACAAGATGAAACGAAAATTTCCTTTGAATTCTTATGGGAGAACTGAGCCTTGATTCCTAGCTTTTGTCGGTCCCTAGGCCTGGGCTTATGTTTTCACCTTGGGCCATACTCTCTCTTTGTCAGGTTTGATTTCTTCTTATGAGTATTCAGCTTTGGAGCAAGGGTCTCACGGCCCCCATCCTAATACGTTCATGAGGTGGATTAGAAGATAGGTAGTAATTCCCAAGGTACCCTGTACCGTGGTCTGGCGTCCTGCGCACGTGGGGACATTGCATGGTTCACACTTTCCACGCAGGAGGTGGCTGATGTTTTTCATTTTATTTTTACAAGATTGTTATGTGGCTGAATCAGAGCTTCCTGCTACCAGAGGATGCAGAGCTTCAGAGTGGACCCTTTCAGGTTTGCTTCACTTCCCTTCGTAACGCAGGTCAGCTCTGCATCAGAATCAAGCCTGGCGGGGAGGTGAGTATGTTCATAGACAAAGGGAATGCCTGTTTAACTAAATAGCAGTGAAAGTTAAGGGTGGTGCCAACATGAGGCAGTAAAAAGGAAGAAGGACTGAACAGGCAGAGGAAGTACTCAAATTTTCGGGATGCTTTCTGCAACTTTTGGCTCTATGGGGGTAATATTGTGGGTAAAACTCATAGTGGGTAAAATTTTAAGGCCATTCAGGGAAGCAAACAGTCCAGCCTATGGGTCTGTGGGAGGGTATTCCTTCCCTCACAAAGAGGTTTCAGGGAGCCATAATTTGAGGCACAAAGGCTGCCCATAACTCTTGCACTGGCCCTGTTTGCAATGATACCTGTTTCCCTCAGGCCTGACTAAAAGCCCCTTTGAGATCAGTATCTCCTTATCTAATGTAAGCCCTAGAGCCTGCACGCTGTGTGTGTTAGGCTCCCCAGCAACAATCTTGCCTCTTGGTAGAATTGAGCTGCTTTCTAGAAGCAGTCCTATTCTAGAAGCAGTCCTGGTGAGCAGTTTTGGGAGACGTTTTGGCAGGGGAGAGGGCTGAAGGGCTTTCTTGTCCTTTCTGATAGATTTCTATCAGCACGGATGATATTGATTTAGCTGGTGACATTATCCAGTCAATGGCCTCCTTTCTGGCAATTGAAGATTTACAGGTGGAAGCAGATTTCCCTGCCTACTTTGAGGAGCTGCGGAAAGTGTTGGTCAAGGTGAGGAGGCATTGGGCATTTTGAAAATGACAGCTTAAGCAATCACTGAAGACAGCTGTAGAAGAGAAAAAGCTGAGCATCTCTAAACTTGCTCTAGCTCCCTCATGTTTTGCCATGGTTTGCTGTGTGTTCTGTGCAAAAGGCAGAGAGGCACCAGCAGCTTTCTATTTGTTCTTTGTAATCCTGAACCAGGGTCTCGGTCCCCAGCAGTTGCTGTTTGTTTAGAATAATGTAAATAACAAAATATGCTGCCTGGGAGACTGAGCTGTGGAAGTGGATGGGGGCAAAGGCAGAGAGGCACCAGCAGCTTTCTATTTGTTCTTTGTAATCCTGAACCAGGGTCTCGGTCCCCAGCAGTTGCTGTTTGTTTAGAATAATGTAAATAACAAAATATGCTGCCTGGGAGACTGAGCTGTGGAAGTGGATGGGGGCGGGGGGCGGTAAGGTGCACATCTCAGCCTGATCACCCCCTTCTGGGGGACAAGGTGCTTCTCTGACGGTAAGGTGTAGGGGCAAGGAGGATGGTCCTAAGGATCCTGGTAGGTGAAGCTGGGATGTTGGTTCCTACAGGCTGAGGTTTAGCTTAGTCTGT